GGGACAAGCACCACCAGGCCAAGTTACAGGTTAGATCTGTGGAGAGGCTACATCTTCAATGTAGGGATGTAACAATAACTGAAATATGATTCTATACCATATATTTTAAATCGATCTGATACGGCCCAGTAAAAACCAAAGGCTAAATTATAGCTGTGATACTAAAAGTTTTAAACCACTATGTTTGTGCAAAGTTAATACGAAAAACACTCATTTTACTCATCAAAACAGTGAATATGTCAAATATATAGCATAAGCACGTTAACTTTTTCCAAATAAGCAACAACTGTAGCTCTTTCACAAAATAATTTTGTACAATATTCCAAAAAATACTCTTGGCAATGTATCAATACAGCAGCCCACGATATTGATTGTGTATCAACAAATTAAACAATACAATACATGGATATTTCAATATTTTTGCACACCCCTAGTCATAGTAGTTATTAATTCAACCGTGTACAGCTCAAATCTTAACATATAACCAAAAAATAACAAAATATTTCACAGCAGGTGGATGTGGCGAACCCCACCATAAAAGATACATGGTGCCCCTTTCAATGTCTCATTTGTATTTTGTCAATGTGGGATCTGACTAAATGTGCTAACTGCAGGTTACAACAATGCTAGTTTGTTTTGATGAGTGAAAAAAATCTGTAGTCATTTTGATTGTTTTAAAGAGGGGATATTAACTGTTAACTGTAACACATCACATATTTAGATCACCATGTTTCCTTTTATTGTTTTGAAAATGCTAAATTCGCTGAAAACAACATATCAACATGTTTTATGAGTCCCCACTGGTCAGGTTTGTGAAGTTGTAGTAGATTGTTTTTTTCTGTATCATGCTTTGGGATATTTATGGAGAACAGAGCCAGAATTAGATCGATCCAATTGAGAAAAATAATGAAAATGTAGTTAAGGGCAGTTTGTGTACAAAGCTGTTCAGTTTAGTGTGCTCAACAAAACTGCAGCTCACTTGATATTTGGAAATGAGTCAATGTGTGAAACTCAAAGCGCTTAGTAATCCAGCCAATTTACTAGAAAAACAGGGAGGCACTGTCAAATGTCTGCAAAAGTGAATTATAGCGGAAAATACTGAATCCACAGAGATTTGTTTTGTTTTTTACTAGTAATATAAGACAGAGCACATACAGGGGTTTAACATTTTATGCAAATGCACATAAAGATACAGGAATACTCAACCACAGCTAAAAAAAGTAAAAAAGTAGAAGTTCCAGATCAGGTCTTTGCGAAGGCGAGCCTACAGGTGTTTTCTGGCACAACACAAGTCAATGCAAGCTGGATAATTTTAATGTCATACTTTGGAACAACGCACACAAAGAAATAACTCTATGAACACAAGCAGTTGTTTTTATCTCTGCAAACTAGTAGGAAGTGCGCCATTAGAATGCTAGTTGTTATTACAGCAACAGCAAAACACATTCTGGTCTCTGAAAGCTATGAGTAGCGATTACACCATGGTGAATAATTGGGCAGCTATGAGTAGTAGTAGTAGTAGAAGAAGTAGAAGTAGAAGAAGTAGTGGTAGTAGTGATAGCTGTAGTAGTGGTAGTAATAGTAGCAGTAGCAGTAGTTGTAGTCATAGTGGTGGTGGTAGTAGTAGTAATAGTAGTAGCAGTAGTAGTAGTAGTAGTAGTAGTAGTAGTAGTAGTAGTCATGGTAGCAGTAGTAGTGACAGCAGTAGTAGTGGTGGTAGCAGTAGTGGTGACAGTAGTAGTGATAGCAGTAGTAGTAGTAGTAGCAATAGTAGTGACAGCAGTAGTTGTGGTAATAGTAGAAGTAGTCTTTAGTAGTGGTGGTAGTAATAGTAGTAGTAATAGTAGTAGTAGTAGTCATTGTCATAGTGGTGGTAGTAGTAGTAGTAGTAGTAGTAATAAGTAATAAGTAGGAGTAGACAAATTAGTAGTAGTAGTTGTTGTAGTAGAAGTAGTAGTGGCAGTAGTAAAAGGACAAGTGGTAGTAGTAGTAGAAGAAGCAGTAGTGATAGTAATGGTAATAGTAGTTGTAGAATAATTAGTAGTAGTAGGAGTAGAAGTACTAGTGGTTGCAGTAGAAGGAGAAGTGGTAGTGGTAGTAATGGTGGTAGTAGTAGTAGTGGTAGTAGTAGTAGTAGTAGTAGTAGTAGTAGTAGTAGTGTATGTGGTCCCATCTGCGTTGCATATAGAGCCTGAAAAGCTTCTGTCTACTCGAGTGTGCACAGTGCAGGCTCATTTGTAATTCAAAGTGCTGAAATGATCTAAGCCTATGTGGAGTTTAGTCATGTTACGGTACTCTGAGCTGCTTGATAAACATCAGGCTTTCCTCCTCCAGAACCTCAAGTGTAATTCACAGAGCTGCTAAAGGACCTGTTTGGGGCCATCTCTCTTTTCAAGATGTTAGCTTTTTGATAAGGCTCAGAATCCCCATAGAACCAGACTGCCTTCGCCTGCACATTTACTTGAGTACGTTTTTGATCAAATAAATACTAAAATAAATACTAATAAAATTATACTTCTCCGAGTAGTATTCAGACACCATATTTTACTTCAACTTGAGTAATATATTTGACTGTGTCACAGTACTCTTACTGGAATAAAAGTTTTGGTTATTCTTCTCACTGTGAGTAAAGGCCGCCATGAACACTACAGGATTTTTCGATCTTAAAACAATTTTTAAATGTGCGGTAAAAAGTGCACACCACAGACATGAGGAGCATCTTATGAGATTTTAAATCTCCAATCACAAAGACTGCTGTGCAATAGGACTGCACACCACAGGCTATAAAGTTGTGAGCGCACCTCACTCGCTTTGAGACACTTAAGTGTTCAAAAGTTCAGAGCATTGCACTTCTCATTTAGATATAAGTCAAAAATGTGTTATTATTATTTGTGAAATGTGGTGCAATATTTCAGATACATGATATTTAATGCACAGAAGTCGACAGGAAGTAGAGTCACTATCGCTAATCTGCAGCTTCACCCCAATCCACAAGCTCTCACCTTTTTACTTTTAAAGAACGCTTCAGACTGGACTCAGTGCTGTTTCATGGACTGGGGGCATTACTTGTGGAGGACAAATTCTATAGATAATGTGGATGAGCTGTAGCAGTTTAAATGTACAGCTTTACAAGAGGTGAGGAATAATTATTTTCACTGTTTCCCGAGTTTGTATCTTGCCTCTGTGTCCATCACTCCTCTGCCCCTGACGCTCTGTTTTTATTGGCTTACAGTAACGTTGCTGATGTTTGGTAGTTACAGTTTATGACAGAGCAGCTCAGAGTCACACTGACATACACGAGGAGTGCAGCGGCTACAAAATCTCATCTGAAGACACAAGTTTGCCTCCCCAATCTTGGGAAGAAGCAAATTGCTGCCTAAATCAGGCAAATTTTCCTGTAGTGTGTAACAGCTTTAAGTCTACAAATGACATTCATTCATTGTAAATCACAATATTGATCTAAAGTGGCTTGATAAAAGAAAAAGGTCCATCGACTTGGACAACACAATCAGCATGTATCCTGCTAATAAAACTACTGTACATCACATCAGGTTTGTCAAGCTGTAGTTTACTGTTTCGTAACCTGCTTTTGTATATTCTTGAAAAATGGCAAGAGAAGAAATCTTGTGGGCTGAGCATTAGGCAGAATCTTACAGCTACCCATAAGGAGGGTTTGAATAAGGCCCAGGAGAGATCGCTAGATTACTCAAACATGCATGAATGACATATAAAACCACCTAAGGCACAATTTTGATGACGGAACAACATTATAACATGGTAGAAAATGTGTTTAACTTCAAACTCTAAATAGGAACATCATATCCAAGCAGTTAGTCTAACATTCATTCTTACTTTTGTATGCTTACTTGAACCTTTTCTTAGACCACGTTTACACTGAAACGAATCACCGTATCAGAAACAATCTGCGTCCAGCTTTCCCTACCACACAGCTTTGCACATATTTGTTCACGTTTTACAGAGACGAAACAAAAAGAACTCATGGCTAATTTGCATGAACTAAGCTTTCGCAAAACACCTCGCTATCATGCGCTGATGTGGTTCAGCTTCTGTCGGATTAAAGGACACGACTCAGTGGATTATATGTGCTCTTTCTGTGACAGAGGGGTGTTGAGTCTGTTCTGTGCTTCTATCACGTTGGAGATGGTTCAGGTGAAACTCTTCAGAGATTCTGCAGGTCATACGCATAGACCGTATAAATGAATGGACATATATTCTAGCCTCTTAGTGTTTTGGAAGTGAATTACTTTGCAGCACATAAACAAACATCAGTGTATGAGCGTTTTCAGGCATCCACACAGTGCCAGATCAGATCAGTACTTAAATGCCTCTGTTTTCAGTCAGATTAGTGTGGATGAACACTGTATCCCCAACAAAAACAATTCGAACACATTCTAGCATGGACGGGGCCTTAGACCACCAACTTCTATTCTGATCTATGTTACAATGTTATTTCCTCATCAAAACATACCTGAAATATTCCAGAAACACACAGGTTGTCATGTGGTAATACAGGAGGTGTTCCACTCTGTTTTTAATCTCCGTACACCTACACTAGAATCATTTGGATGATTTCAGCCCTGGAATTGCCAGTCTCTACTGAACTGAAGCTAAAAAGAGCTGTTGTAAAATACCACTTGAAGGCATCACAAGGTGGAATGGAGCATTTTAAGTTTTGGGGATGTAGATAATATATGTAGAGAAAGAGCTACTCAAATGTGTGAATGAAACAAAACTCAATTCCAGGTATGTTTTTGAGGAGGTAACAACATTCTAACATGGCTTAAAGCACACAAGAGTCAATTTTGCATAATGCAGGACCTTTAAAATAGAAGTGAAGCCAAAAGAATGTATAATATGTCCTTTAACTATAAATTAAACTGTTACATCCATTACTCTTAAATTCATTCCAACTTGAAAGGTAGCTTCCCCAAACACTTTTAATCAAAGACCACCTACTCCTGGTTGTTAATTTGACTTACCCCAGCAGCGAATCCTAAACTGCCGTCCAGGATGCGTTTCTGAAAAAGACAGAGGAGAGAACAGTGTCAGATCAATAGCTTCAAACAGTGCAACACGGAAGTCCTCAATACACTGGCAAAAGGCAACATCCAGTCGGTCAAAGATTCAAAGGAGGTGATCGATACGGTGTGCACGAGCAAAGTTTACCTCAAAGAAACGAGTTAGGAAGGAGACAAATCCAATAGTCTTACACTCAGCAAAATACCAACAATGTCTAAGGAGTAGTGCACTGAGAAAAAGGGAGATATATGTGGGATAGTGGAGCTGTTACACAAAGGTGACAGGGTATGATGAGTGTGACCAAGCTTATGATAGAACTAGAGTAGTGACTCGAGTAAGCACTGGGCCTCTGCTAAGATTAAGAATTTGGTAAAATGGTAGATGGTCACATTTTTATAAAGCACTTTTCCATCTTTGAGGCACTCAAATCGCTTTACATCAAGGAACTACTCTCCCATTCACACACACACATTCATACACCAGTGTACACAGATACAAGGCGAGGTGGGTTAAGTGGCCCAACAACAGCATTCATCTGTGGGGGCTGGAATCACACTGCCAGTTTCTGGGTCAGTGGATCTGACCACTCAACAAACTTTAAGTCAAGAGTGGGATTCAAACCGCCAACCTTTGGATCAGTGGACGAACACTCCAACCAACTGAGCTACTGTCACACACACAATTTCAACTATTTATATTATAAGGCAGATCTGGGCATTGTTCCTGAGCCACATACGGCCTTTTGGTTGACTGTGACTGGCCTGTTTAAAGCTTTTTTTTTTTTTTTTTTGAATTACAAAATAATCATATTTTATAATTTTACCTCATGCATGGACAAAAGCTGCATTGCTAATTGCTTTTTTTTTTTTTTATTACAATTTTTGTAAGGCAGCCTCACTTTTTCATTGCTTAGTCATAACATAAACTCTTACCAGTCTTACCAGCTCATCAAAACAATGATATTTAATGCTTTTTATAAAGAAATACAATTAATATTATGCAGAACTGAGTTAAGCATTTTGGCCCGGCTCTCTACAATATTATCTGTTTCTCATGTGGCCCAATGGAAAAAAAAATATTGCCCACCCCTGTTATAAGGCAATCTCTCCACAGGTTTGTAAACACAGAGTTTTAATCAAAATTTTAAAAAGTCATATCTCATATTTTATCATATCGTATCTCCCTATGTTATTGAGATATTAAGAAAGAGTACCTGCAGAAACAGGACACATACAAGTTCTTCTCATTCTCAGTATATGGATGGGCCAGGCACTGATTCATGATGGACAGTTTAAGTTTATTTTCAACTTTTCATGGGTTTTTAACCGAAAATATCTGATCAAACCTTAAGATCGAAAAGACAAAGTGGAAACATATCAAAATATAATATGCAATTTTTTTTGTAATCAAAACCCAAACCTCCTGGTCAGCCTCAGAAACAGGTGGATTTAACCAATTGCAAATGTGTGAATTTTCACCAGAACTTTTGTTAGAATCTTAATATTGCCTTGAAGGAGTAGTCTAACATTTACAAAGTCCTGTTATTAATAGGCTCTTTGTTGTGTGCTTGTTAGCTCACTATGTCTCAAATCTAATTAAAATGTAAAATATATTTTAAAAAACAACAACCAATTAAAATGTAACTAAAGTTGCCTAGTTGTTTTTATGTGTACTGTAGTTTGTGCCGTAATTTATTATTCCACAAAATTAGCATTAGCATTGAGACAAATTTCCACTTGGTGAAGTTTTCACCTCATTTGTAAACTCTTCAACATGTTTCTGATATGCATCCACAAATTTTTGTCCGCTGCTCAATTTTTAAATATTTATACATTTTAGTGCAGCTCAACTCCATAGAAATGCAAAAGGACAGAAAGTGTTGTGCATAGATCTAGTTTTTTACCTTAACCATCTGAGTACATTTTTTAAATCTGAGCCAATATGACTACACAATGCTGTTGAATTCTAAACGCATCACAGATTAAGAGCCTAAAATTGGAGAACAATGTAAGAACAGAGCAGTGGGCATCAGAAACAGGAAACAGGGGTTGACCTGCAATATGGTCTCTTTAACAAACATGCAGAAACATCTCACTCCAAATAATACTTTAAGAGTGTAAATGGTGAGAAGAAACAACTATAACACAATTTAAGTTCTAAAAAATGTGCAGGTCTGCTTTATGGTAATTGGTAAGTGGTCACATTTTTACCACCCATTCACACACACATTCATACACCAATGTACACAGACACTAGGGGCGAGGTGGGTTAAGTGTCTTGCCCAAGGATACAACAACAGCATTCATCTGTGGGAGTTGGAATCACACCAGCCAACCTGCGGGTTAGTGGATCTGACCACTCAACCATCATGGGACATTGGACAAACGCTCTACCAACTGAGCTACTCTCGAACTGTTTCTTTAATGCATTTACATAATATTTGACAGTTACTCCATTCAGACTTTGACCCACACTTGATCCACTCATTTCCAACTATTTTTTTAAACAGTGTGTGCTCTTTTTTTTCACCTGTCGACTGGAGAAGACAAAGACCAGCGCAGCTCCGGCAGCCGTCAAACCCCATGTAAACAAGGTCCCCAGCAGGGCCTGTGTCACCGGGCCTGTACCCCTCCAGCATGGTGCCCTGCTGCGGAACAAAACACACACAGCCCCATACAGTGAGTACACATTGAAAGCACTGCTCTTTACGGAAAAAGACAAATCAGATCAAACCCGAGATCAATTTGGCTATTTAAATTAGCACAGCCCCAGGAATGGCTGTGTGAACTATTGACAAGAGTACAGGGATGCAGAGGACAGGAATATACACAAGGAAGTAAAAGGATCTAAATGCAACTCTTTGTAAAACGTCTTTGTAAACATATGTCTTGTGATGGTTAGTAGCTTGTCACGCACAGTGCAGTGTAACTATATTATGTAAAATTAACTCCGGTGAGCTTTAAGCCATGTTAGAATGGCGTTGCCCCCTCAAAAACACACCAGGAGTTGTGTTTTGTTTCATTCACACATGTTTAATGCACAAACCCCGCAAGTTCTAGGCTAAGCTCTCCTCTCAAACTGAAAACACCCTGTGGTGATACAGGAAGTGCTCCACTATGCATTTAAACTCCATACATTTTCACTATAATCATTCATGACATCACGAGGTGGAACATTGCATTTTGAGCTTAGGAGATATACGGACTAAAAATAAAAGTATTACTCAGACATGTAAATGAAACAAAACACAAATCCGGGTCTGTTTTTGAGGAAGTAACAACAATATAACATGGCTTAAAGCTCACAAGAGTCCACTTTGTGTAATATATGACCTTTAATTAAGGATTCATTAAGAAACCTGCTCCACCTTGACCAGTACAGGTGTAACAGGTTTCTTTCAATGGTACAATAGAAGTGTGGTTAATTTCACTATTGTCAAGTAGTATGATCAAGTATCAAAAGAATTATATGTTAAGGTGCATTTTTAACACAAAAAACATAAAGCCATTTGACATTTCAAATTAAAAAGGTGAAGCCTAATAGCTACGTAACTATGCAATAGGCTTTAGCATTAAAAACAGCTGCAATTGAAAAAAAAGCAAGCTATACCAGTTTAATACCATGCTGTAGGAAATTCCTGGCAAAGCAATTACATCTCCATGGAGACAAGAAAGTGGCGAATCCTCTGTCAGAAAAGTTACACATTGCACTTTGAATTCACTAATGCAATATACCCAGATTTCTTTTTTCATAAATAATTTGGCAAAAAGCAAAATATGTTTACTTTAAAAACATGGACTTCGTAGCCTATTGCAAAAGCTATATTCAAACTAGTTTACAATTGGATCTTATGTACATAGACCAGCTAGATGAATACAGTATATGCACATTCATTTAGGGTGACAAGATTTTCAAAATAAAAACTGGGACACCCCTGGTTTGTGGCAGTTGGTAATAATAAAATTATGAATCGAGTGTGTAATTAAGGAAAATTGTTCTGCACTTCACCCATTCACGCCTAGCATGTGTCAGCATAGTCACATTTTTTTGGTGTTATGGTCATTTTTAAGTAGTTTTTGCCTCTCTTTACTGTTGGCAGGTATCAAATTGGTTAAAAATAGGGACATTAGGGTCATGTCTTGTATAAAACTGGGGAAAAAATCACTGGTTTTGGATCAATCTGGAATCAGTCGGAACACAGGGCTCAAAACTGGGACTGTCCCGGGGAAATAGGGACATCTGGTCACCCTAAATTAATTACTAAAATACATTGTAAAAGTTGTAACGCATTCTTTTATTAACTGGGGAATTCTTTAGCCTCGAGTAAAAAGTCTACGTGTAGCATTTTGCGTCGTGTTTGATTAGTAACAGATTGTCAATAGGAAAGTCCTTAAACTTACGTGACTTACGTGACCTACCTGTCAAAAGTTCCACTCGTGTGCTGATGCTGCTTTCTGTCTCTGTCGTATGAATTAAAACAGCTCAATTCCCACTCCGATCTTTTAAAACTAATCGCTAACCTAGCATCCCTAAGATATCACGTATTTCCGCCCACGTTAACACTACTACCGTGCAAGGATGTGTTATAATTTGGGGTTTGTTGACTTGTTTCTAGCGGCAATGCAGGAGCTCTACTATTTACTTCCTACTTCCCGGTCCACGTGTCTCTGTGACGGCCCAGGTCCCGCCCCCTCTGAGAGCTGATTGGCTGAGAGGAACAGCAGCGTGCAGAACGGAGGAGCCTTGGTGGAGCCAAAGGGGATTATTAATAATTACTAATATTATAAAAAAAAAAGTGAAAAAAATGCATAGCATTTGTCCAAAAGCTTTTTTTTTTTTTTTTTTTTTTTTTTTAAACAACGTTTCTGCAGAAAGTCTTCGTTAGATCATTCCTCTTTTCTTGCTTTGGCCACAGTATACCGTATATATAGGCAAAAAAAAAAAAACATGATATGACTAAGGCGTTTTGCCAAAACGTTATTTAACGTTAAAAATAACATCATCAATCAGAGTGTGATACGCTTTTTTTATTATTATTGTAACACCACTATAATATAAAAATATAAAAATAAAAAATGATCAAAAATAAGAGACATGGATAAAATAAGGTGTTCAGTTGTGTGAAATACAAAATATACAGTATAAAGAGAACAGATAGAAGAGAGAGAACTAATTAAGGATGCATTGTGTAACTTTTCTTGTGGATGGTCCATCTAATGCTTGTCTCCATTGCTTTGTCTGGAATGTTTCACATTACAGTACTGAACCTTTTTTTTCTTCATGAAAAGCCAGAGGTCAGATCTGTGGAGAGGCAACTCCGCCCACAGTCAGAATGCACAATAGAGTGTCTTTGGTTATGAGGACTCAAATAGTATTAAATAATAGTATTATTAATAATTACTTATATTATAAAAATGTAACACATAAACCAGAAAATAACATCACTATAATACAAAAATATGAAATTATACAAGTAAGAGGCATGGATAAAATAAGGTGTTTGGTTGTGTGAAATACAAAATAAACAGTTTAAAGAAAATAGATAGAACAGAGAGAAATGATAGTTAAAGATACATTGTGTAACTTTTCTGGTGTCCATCAAATGCTTGTCTGCATGGAGATGTTGCTTTGTCTGAAATGTTTCACAATATGGCTGAGGTCCCCAACCTGTAGCTCTTGAGCTATCAGTGGCTCTCTACCCACTTCTGAGGAGCTCGTGAAGGGATTTCGGAATTATACCACTGTGCTGAATAACACAAATTTGGTTAGTTACATGCCAGGTATAGAGTTACATAGTGCACCTTTAAGTGTGGATGAAGGATAACCAAGTCTGTGAACACGTTTAATCTGGCCTTTTACTGTTCTGTGTTACGTCTTGTGTAACTGTTTTGTATTTTGCATAGCTCTTTGTATCACCTGCTTATGGACAACAGATGGAAATGATAATTTTTGCTGTAATCTGACATATTTACATTGTAATTACAGATGTTCATTAAGATGCATTGTCCTTATCAAATAAATGAATACAATAGACATAATCAAATCCAAACTAGTCATTATGTTTCCACAGATTGAATGTATCTCAGACTCCCACAAGTGTTCTACCGGCAACAAATTTCCACCAGATAAACAGAAAATCCACATGCACTGTCGTCATCTTTAAATATTTGAATAGACCCTCAAACATGTTACATAAGGCTTCGGGGTTTGAGTGCATCTCGTATACAAGAATCTATAAACAGACCAAGAACAGCGCGCATTTATGGTGGTCCTCTCGTGATTTTGTTTACGTGTTTTTGACGAGAAACAGACCCCTAAAAAGTTGGAATTTTCTTGGAATTTCCAGGGTTGTTCTCGTTGCCCTCTTGTTCATGGTATTTTTAGGCGTATTAACCTTTGACTGATAATCTAGCACGTTTGCATTCCTCTGGCTCCGGACTTCCTTTTCCTAAACTTGGCCTTAAAGTTCCTATTTCACACACAGTGGATTCTTGTGAGCTTTTTGTCATTTTATAATGCAGTTGTTTCAATTCACACATGTTTGAGTAACCTGCATTATTAGTCTATCTTTATCTTCAACACTTGATATACTCTGTTCCACTCATGAAGATGTAGTTTTCAAGTTACAAGAGCTTTTACATGTTCAGTAGAGATGAGCAATTCCAGCACTGAAATTATCCAAATGATTCTAGCAAAGGTGTATGAAGTTTAAAAACAAGGTTGAGTATTTCTTGTATCACATGACATCCCAACTTGGAACAGTGTGTTTTCCGTTTGAGAGGAGAACAGCCTAAAAATGCAGGATTTATGTGTTAAACATGTGTAAAGGAGGAATGAAGAAACATCATTATAACATAGATCAGAAAATAGTGTAATATATTCCATTCTCCATTGGCTCCCAGTGACTTTTAGAGTCGATTTTAATATGTTATGTTTTATTTACTTTTAAGTGTTTGCATGGCCTAACGCCCTCCTACCTCGCTGACTTGATTCACCCTCACGCCCCCTTGCACACTCTCAGGTCAACAGATCAGCTCCGATATGCCATCCCAAAGACTAAACTTGAGCTTTGTGGGGACCGTGTGTTTTCTGTTGCTGTCCCACGGCTGTAGAACCAGTTGCCATTAGAGATTAGACAGGAGGAGTCTGTACCTGTTTTTAAATCACTCCTAAAAATGCACTTTTTGTCACTGGCTTTTAACAAGTGAGATATACATTTTTTGAGTATCTTATTGTTTTCTATGTTTTTTTGTTTTTTTTTGTAGTTGTATTGTATTTGCATTAGGTATTGTGTTGTACTGTGATTGTCCTTGCCTAGCATTTTGGCCAGCTGTAAAGTTTTTAAAGTGCCTTATAAATAAAGTTGGTATGGTATGTTATGGTTTATAGTGCATATGATAGATTTTCATGATTTTCTACTTTTGACTTGGTCAGTATTTTTATTATTTGTATTTGTATTTATTTATTAAAGTGACAATGCAGACAAGATGTACTTGTATGTATAATATGCAGGATTGTAGCCAAAGCTAATTTTGGTCCCATGCTTTACCAAGGCCACATGACCGGCACAATTCATAAAACATGACAAACGCCTACAGCACCCATTCCAACAAGCATCTCTCACTCATACACTGTAAAACACACTCATACTATATTAGTATTAAAGGTTGTATAGAGGATTTTTTAAAGGGAAAAGAAATACAGCAACAGTCCTTTTTCAAATGTTGTGCATGCGTGACACCACCTTCCTCTTCCACAGCTCCCTTAGTAAGGCAAGGCAAGGCAAGGCAAGTTTATTTGTATAGCACAATTCGTACACAAAGTAATTCAAAGTGCTTTACAGAATAAGAAATACATTAAAATCATAATAAAAACAAATCAAAACATAAATAATCATGAAGATTAAAATTAAAAAAGAGAGACATAAATTGGAGAGAAGAGTGCGGAATGAAAACCTTTCAGTTATATGCACAGTTAAACAGAAATGTTTTGAGCCTGGATTTAAACAGCGTCACAGAAGAGGCTTGTCTCACATGTTCAGGAAGACTGTTCCAGGTTTTAGCTGCATGAACCTGAACTGCTGACTCCCCTTGTTTAGTCCTGACTCTGGGCACCAGCAGGAGGCCGGTCCCTGAGGTCCTCAGAGTGCGAGATGGTTCATATGACACTAACATGTCACAGATGTACTTTGGTGCTCGGCCATGGAGAGACTTGTACACAAGCAGAGCTGCTTTAAAGTCTATTCTCTGAGGCACAGGAAGCCAGTGCAGAGACCTGAGCACAGGACTTATGTGCTCGTACTTCCTAGTTCGAGTAAGGACCCGAGCTGCAGCGTTCTGGATGTTCTGCAGCGTCTCACAGCTCGTTTTGAGAGACCAGTGAGCAGACCATTACAGTAGTCTAACCTACTGGAGACAAACGCATGGATAAGTTTCTCCAAGTCTGCTTTAGACAGTAAACCTTTTATTTTTGCTATGTTTTTTAGATGGTAAAAGGCTGCAGATGTTATGGATTTGATGTGGCTGTTAAAGTTCAAGTCTGAGTCCATTATTACCCCTAGACTAGTAGAAACATCTCCTCCTGCCTCCTTACTCTAGAAATCACGCTTGTTTACAGCCAGCACGTATTCAGAATTACTGCTGAAGTGACCTGTCTAGAAATAATTTAGCAACCGGCACGTCAGTTTTTAGACCCTTTGTCTGCTTCATTCGCGCAATCGCTGGAAGAGATCTCCAAGAATCACTTCAGTTTGGCTTTGCTCCTTTTCTCCTTTTCTTCTTCTTTCAGCTACCTCAAAAACGGACTTTCGTTTGTGGCGAACTGGTCGTGGATTTTCGTCCACCATCTCAACAAATTGCGAACTGCGAGGAAACTACAATTTAGAAAAGCCTCTAAGAACTGCTGCGTAAACCACATAATCCCTGCGCATCAGTTACACTAGAAAGGCAGGGAGTTTGACAGCCTGACAACCAATAGAAAATGAGGTAGCCTTGTTATCTATTGGCTGATGTTTATCTGCCCTCACCATGTCCACAGACGACAGATTTTCATTCTTTTTTCTTTAATCAACATAATTACAAGGCTGCTGCATTTCTGTAAGGGTATTTTAAACTTTCATTGACAATTTGAAACAAACAAAAAAATCCTCCATACAACCTTTAACACGTACAGGTCAGACATATACTCTTATTACACATCATTAACTTCTATTTACAGGTCTATATACAAATCTGACTGCAGTCCCCGGGTCATGAGCAAAAGGTGTTGTTTAAGTGGACAGATCTGATTGTCCAATTTCCAGACTACAAGCCACTACTTTTTCTCACACTTTGAACCCTGTGTTTTATACAACGATGCGGCTAATATGGACAGATTAATTGTTTATGAACACAGCGGATGCACGTGCAGCCTGAGTGCACAAAGCGCCGCTGTCTGCGCGATTAACATGAAGTTGCAGCACTAGCTGTTGTCAGCATTAAAACAGTTTATATCCATGTGATAAAATAAGTTATGATGCCAAATGAACATTATTGAGTGGGATATGACTTAATAACCTGTATACGTAAAATGCAGGTGAGTGCGTACTTTTGCCTGTCCGGTAGATGATTTCACATCAACCTGCTGAGGAACTGATGATGGAAATTAGCATTACATTACATTTTAAAT